CAAAAATTTTTTTAAAAATTCGAGTGCCCCTTTTTATTTTTTTTCATTTTTCCTTCAATATTCCCCTCAATTCTTTATTATTATTTTGATTGTCCACTTCATACATTCTAACTCATAATTAAATTATTTTATTTTTTCCTCCATATTTTCATCATCAAAATTTTTTTAAATTTTGAGGGCATCTTAGTCCATTATTAATCGACACTTAAATTGAGTTTAAAACAATGGAAAATAATTTTAGAAATTATTTATTAATATACCCTCTTCAAAATCCTTCGAGAACTATTATTTTTTACTCCTCGATAAAGGTCAATAATGTAGAAAAAGACAATGGAGGAACTAGAAAATAATTGGCAATTATTCGTTAATTTATTTTAATTTTTCCATTATTATTTTTTACACTTATTATTTTCAGGAAAAATATCTTTAAGTATCTCGATGTCTAAAATCGAAGAAAAATTTAAAAATCAAATCCACTGAATTCTAGTTATTTTTTATCTTTTCATAGTCTACTGCATTTATTAACACTGTCCAGAGATGGGACGGGTTACCAAAAATCACCCGATTTTTTTCGACCCGAAACTCGGCCGAAGAAACTTTCAAAAACCCGATCCAAAAATTCAACCCGACCTTTTTCTTAACCCATCTCATCCCTGCTAGGGATTCTGCCGTCTTGATTCTCGTTTCCTAAAAATTGGGAATTTATTTTTTATGTCTGTAGGATCCCTTGTAGAGGCTTCATTACTAATAAGGAAACAAAATAAATTTTCTAAATGCTTCTAATTTTTTTTCAAAAAATTCCTCGTTTTTTCTCTCCATACAAAAATAATTTTTATTTTTTTCTAAATTCTCCAAATAGGCAATAACGTAAAATTAAATTTTGTGTGTTTTGTGTGTGATAAATTAGTTTTATTCGTCTTATTCATCTTTTAATAATATTCTTCTTTTTTTATTCGTCCTTCAAAATAAATAAATTTTTTTAAATAATTTTTTTGCAATTTTTAATAAACTTTGTATATGTTCATTCTTTAAATTTATTTTTATTTATTTTCTTAAAGACCAAAAACTTTTTTTTAATTCGACAACCGCAACCTTGCTATATAACCTTGAATTTTGTTTATTTCTTTTTTAATTTAAATAAATAAATTAATTAAAAGCCATTAATCTATTTTTATTGCTAATTAAGGCTAATCCTTTTCAGTAATTTATTCATTATTAAGTAAGCGTGTTTAAATGAGAGGTGGAATTTTTGGCTTTTATAAAGTAAAACGCCCGAACCCGCCTTAGAAAATAATTGCGGGAAATATCCAAAGATTGAATTGGGACTTGATCCTCAGTGTTCTCCAATGCAAGGTTGTTAACCCGTTCGACCATCACCGACTGATCGTTTTCAAATTTTTTGCTTTAATTTCTAGACTATTTGGACACCTCGATGGCCTTACTCTAGTTATGCCACCTCAACAGAACCTTGCTGTTATTAAACATTTTTAAGAAGCTTCAATTTGCAGTTATTTATTATTAGAATACCTATCCATATTAAAAAGCCTACCTTTCCCTTTTTTTCAATTTTTAAAAATCCAAAACTAGACAAATAAAAACGAAACTTTAAAAGAAACCAAAAAAAACTTGTGGGGGTTATTTTCACAGTTTTTTTCTGTTTTGTATTTATTGCCGTCGATCGACGTTCATTCATTCACCCCAACCGCGATCACCACCAACAACATTCCAAACAAATACAAAAGTCTTCTTTACCCAACTTTTCTTCTTCTTCATTTCTTCAATTTCCTGCTCATTCTCTCTCCATTTTATTTTTACAAATTTATTTTTAATTTCTTATTGCGCGTTTCAACGTTTTATTTAGGGCGTAAAATTTGAAGAGAAAAAGCGTTGCATTAAACTGCTAATTTTTTTAAAAAATATTTTTATAATTGTTTTAGGAAGAAGAGGACTTTGATGTTTGAAATTTTTGAATTTTTAAAAATTTTTATTTACAAAATTTTTATATTTTAGGTTCTTATTAGGGACTGGGAGGAACCTGGACTTTACTGAAACCTTTAATTTAATTTTCAACTTTCCTAGAAAAAAATTTTTTTATCAAAAACTAAAATTATTAATTTCAAAAAAAAATATGCAAAATTCATCATTACTATTTTTTACTCAACTTTTTTGTTTTATTTTATTTACAACAATTATTAGAAATCAAGGTAAATAAAATATTTTACATAATAGTACTTTCCGTAAAATAATTAATTCTGTTATATTTTCCGGAAAACAAAAATACAAGAAAATACAAGAAAATAAACAGAATTAAAAAAAATACAAAAACACAGAATAATCAGAAGATTTACAACTGAGAAAACACAAAAAATCAGAAATACATTAAATTAAGTAGGAAAAGGATAGAAGATTAATAAGTACAAAAATACAAAGATGACCCAATTTTTAAAAAAAATTACCTAATTTTTCTCCTTTTTTGGTTCACGTAATTTTTTAAGATTATTTATTCTTGTTGAGTAAAAAAATTTCTTTTAATTGAATTCAAGTCTATGCCCAACCCCCACAACAACAATCCCAACAAACAATTAACAACAAACTTCAATTTACAATAAATACATATTCACCAGATTTTGGTGTTTATATTGGCCCATTAATTAATTCTGACAGCCATAAAAATAATAATTTTATGGGACATGTTTTTGCTATTAATGAATCTGCCATTCAATTAGTTAATTTTACTTTTGATGGAAATGTTCCTGGTAACTTAAAAAATTTTTGAAAATTTTTGGGAATTTTTTGGAAAAATATTTTTGAAAAATTTTTAGGCATTTTAGAAACTTTTTAAAAATATTTTTAATTTTTTAGAAATTTTTCCGAAATTTTTTTAAAATTTTTTGAAAAATTTTTTTAATGATTTTCTGTTAATTTTCAATGTTTATTCTCCTTATAATTTTATTTTTATTAATTAAAATTATTTTTTAAATTTAATTTACCGTCTTTGTCAATTTTATTATATCCTTCCCAAATTTTTTTATTATTTTTTTTTCTGCGCGTGCCCTATATTTATTTTCTTTTGTTATTTTTTAATTACAAAAGGAGGGAAATTTTGTAGAAAATATTAGGTTTAATTGTTTGTTCTGAAAATTAAATGAACAGAAAAATACAAAAAAGAAAATACAACTTTTCTTTTACTATTATTGTTTATTAAATTAAAAATACAAAAGAAAACACAAAAAGAAAGAAATAATTAGTAAACAAAATTATTAGTTCCGGAAATATTTTCCGGAAAATACATATTACTCTAAAATACAATTTGTAAAATACATATGTATTTTCCGGAAAATATTGCTTTAAAAATACATTATTTAAAAATACGATCTTTCCGGAAATTGTTTTCCGGAAAATACATACATTAATTAGAAATACGCTTTTTCCGGAAAGTGTTTTCCTGAAAACACATTATTTAAAAATACATTTTTCCGGAAAACCTTTTCTACTATATTTCTTCAGTAAAACAAATTAAACAATAAATAGATACCGGTAGTCAGCGTCGGTAGTTAATTCTCAATTAAATTTCGAAAAAAAAATTAATCGAGTCGCCCTCTTATAATTTATATCAAATAAATCCTTAAAAGACCAAAAAATACTTAAAATTAATTGTTTAAACGGATTTTAATCTTTAAATACTCCATGCCATTTTCTATTTTTTAATTGAATAGACATTTGTCAATGGCTATTGAATTTTATTTTTTTTTCTTTGTAAAATGCCGTCAAAAAAGGGAAAAGATGCGCAAATCCCATCCATTTTCTTTTTATCTATTTTTTTCTTTTCAATTTTTTTTAATTTAATAGAGGACTAGAAGTGTATAATTTAGGTTTAAATGGTTGAATTGAGGAGAAAGAAATTTAAAAAAAGGGAAAATCGGATAGAAAAATTTTTCCAGATTTTTAAAATCCTAAAAATCTAAAAAATTTATTAAAAATAGCCTAAAATATTTAAAATTAATTTTAAAATATTAAAAAAAATTTTTAAGACACTTTCTTTTGGCTTGATCGCAGCCAAGTACCCACACGTGATGGTATAAGGCTTTCAACTTTTGAATATGGGTATTTAATTAAATAAAAATATTTTTTATTTTTTTGAATAATTTTCAAAGTCTTTCACCCCTGGGAACTTTAAATCCAAATTCTCCAGTAATACTAATTCTGCCTGAATACGAACTTGAAGATGAACAACAGGAAGAATTAATTGAGCGTATAGAACAATTAAGAATTGGACAATTTAAAAGTTTAAGTCTTTTCTCTTTAAATGGAGATGTGGCTATTGGAAGTGTGGTAGGTTGTTTTTTAGGACAAAAAAATTTTTTTAATTTTAAAAATTCTGAAAAATTCTGATATTTTTGTACACTTAAAAATGTACTTCATTCAGATGCCCATAACTTTAGATTAAATTAGGTTAAAATTATAAAATTTATATTTTTGGATAGAGCACATTTTAAGCTATAAAAATGCCAAAAATTAGATTTTTAGCTTAAATAAGCGAAAAGATATGAATTTTTAAGTAAATCATACTTTTCATCATTTCTCTTAAAACTTGAATTAATTTTCAGAAAATACCAGAAAATTTAATTGTACCAAAAACTCAATTAATACAAGACGAATTGAAAGGAACTCGTTATGATGTTCAATCTGGACCTATACAAATATTGGATACTAAAACAATTAAAATATTTGGATTTATATTTCAAGGAGACAAAGCCCCAGGTGATTTGGTGTATTTTTTTGGAAAAATTCTGAAGATAATTCTGAAAAATTCTGAAATTTTTTTGGAATTTTATTAATCTTTGTTAAAGTCATTAGAATATTTCAGAAAAAAAATCTAAAAATTTTTCTAAAACCTTTTTAATTTTTACAAAACCTAAATGATACCTATTAAAAAAGATAAGGTTAGAGAGCACAGAGTAAGTTACTCTTCTCTTGTCCATCACTTGACTTTGAGGCATATGTTAATTAGGTTTATTTGAGTCTTGACTCTATAAATCTAAAGTGGATTAACTGGCTTGTATTTTCTTAATTCTATGAGCACAATAAAAATTTTTTTAATTAAGACGGATATTTCTATGTTGGCCGCGGTCTGAACATAACAAAAGAATCTGGGGTTAAAGCTGCGATTCGAGGAAGAGATACTTTTGACTCGTATAAAATCCGGAAAAAATAATTTAAAAATTAAAAACATTTTCAGAATAACCCCAATAAATGAGAGATATACTGGAGGGAAAGATATTTATGTTGAATTGCCTATTGGGTATGATGTTCAACATATTGACTGGATTTCTGTGGGGGATTTATTTTATTTTTAAATTATTTTTTTAATTTTGAAGGTTTATTGTTTACATTTTGAAGTAGATTATGGACATGTATTTATTAGAAATATATCTCCAATGATACCCCCACATGTTCAAATACCTATAAGGGTGAGTTGAAGATCTAAAATTTTTGTTTCGAATTTTTTGCTTCACATTCTGATTTCTGCTTCACTTTTTATTATTTTTGCTTCCTGCTTTATTTTAAAATTCTGCTTCATCCTCTGAATTCTGCTTCAGTTTCCGAATTCTCCTTCACTTCCGGATATTTTTGCTTGATTTTCGGAATCTGCTTCACTTTTTAAAATCTTGCTTCATTTTCTAAAATTTTGCTTCATTGTCTAATCTTTCTGCTTCACATTTTGATTTCTCCTTCATTTTCTGATATTTTTGCTTGATTTTTGTAATCTGCTTTACTTTTTAAAATTTTTGCTTCACTTTTCTGAAATCTGTTTCATTCATTAAATTTTACTTTCTCAATTCTGCTTCATTTTCTAATCTTTCTGCTTCACTTTTAATATTTCCCCATAATTTTTTCCAGGCTGACGACATTTTTAAAGACAACAAGCAACTTACTTGGCATGTTAGTAACCTCCTTGGGACTGATTCTCAACTCAACTTTACCTTTCAATTAGGCCCTCCTGGAGGAATGAAGGGCCATAAAGTAGATAATTATTTTTAATTTTAAAATAAAATTTTTTAAATAATTTCTAGTCGATGAGACACGTGCCTAAACCTCCCCCTTATGTTTGGTATGTTAATGGATATTTGGCTGATCTTTACCTAAAAAGAGGAATTACATATACATTTATGTAAATTAAATTAATTTAATTTTAAGTAAAAATTTAAATTTATTTTTAGAGTTGAAGGAGGTCAAAATTCATCAGTACCTCAGCTTTACAATCCTCTTTATTTGACTGATAGTATTTATGGAGGTTATTCAAAATTGAGCAATTCAGAAAAAAAAGTAAATTAATTTTGTAGTTTTATGAATTTTAATTAATTTTACAATTATTCTGATTACAATTCTAAATTACAATTGTTAATTACAATTACTAAAATAATTAAACTTGACGTGTCTATTAATTGTAAAATTACAATTGTAATTATGACAGGCGTCAAGTTTTACTATTATTTTTTGAACTAAATTCTGATTAAATTCTGAATTTATTTTTTCTTTAAGCATGCAGTAAAATATACGCAAGAAGAGTCTGGTCGCCTTTGCCGGTGGATAGAAGAGGAACCCTTTGGAGAATTATCAGCAGATAAATATTCCTCTTTTGTTGATTTTAGAGAAACTTTGAGGTAAGCATTTACCTGTATTCTTTAAATTTTCTTTGAATATTTTCCATTATCTTCTTCATTTTTTAAAGGCTAGAATGTGACGAATCAGATGAACCTGGCATTTTAACATTCACGCCTAGCAAAGATACACCCAATATTTTATATTATGCGGTATGTTAAAGCTTATATTTTTAAAAATATCCAATCTTTTCAGAGTTATTCAAATTATCAAATGGGTGGAAGAATACAAGTTGTTGATGAATTCCCTGCTGATCTCAAATATATTGTTGTTGAGGTAATAATTATTTTTAATTAAATTTATGGGGGGTTAATAACGTTTTAATAAACCTTTTACAAATTGTAAAAAAAGGTTGGAATTAATTTGTAAAAAATTTACAAATTGTAATAAGTTTGTAAAAAGTTGTAAAAAAGTTTTACAAATTGTAAAATAGAGCTTTAATCAAGTTTTAATAAAATTACAATTTGTAGTCAAGCTAAAAGAAATTTTTACAAATTGTAATAAAGTTTTAATTTAAATTAAAAACTTACTATTTAAATATAGCCATATCGTTACGACGCAAAACGGCATCAAGAAAGGATGGTACTGGCTAGGGAAAGTAATGGAAATGAGAGAAATACTGTAAAAATTCTAACTTGTGGCATTTTATTTATTTTAACTTTTTTATTTTTGTAAAATTTATTTAAAAATTTTTTATTTATTCTTTAAAATCATGTAAAAATAAATAAATACTAGTAAATGAAGTTGAGTAAAAATCTCCTTTTTGTTAATCCTTTTTTCCTAACAAATAATTTTTGAACTCCTGCCATGTCCTTTTACTATTCAAATTTGTTATAGTTTGCAGCGTTCACCGCGTTCATTTTCATTAACCTTATTCCACGTTTAAATATTTAAACTAGCAAAGTTCTGGTTATTCTACTTGCTCTGAGGAAGATGACCAACATTGTGGATGGAAGGAATATTTACCTCTTCCCATCAAATAAACGTTTCATTATCAAAACGCCGTTCACATATACCTCCCCAACTTGCCATCCCAACAACGTTCCATACCTCCCCAACTTTGACTTGGATGGCATTCATTTTTTCAGTTTTTCATTGATTCATTTAACCAAACTTTTACCTTAATAAATTTAAAAAATGAGCCTTTTTATTTTAAGATTTGTAATGCTTCTTTTAAGTTTTTACAAATTGTAAAAGTTGTAAAATAAAAATTTAGTAATCAAGTTTTAATATATTTACAATTTGCTGTAAATTAAAATAAACTTTTTACAAATTGTAAAAATTCTGATTTAATTTCTACAAATTGTAAGCATTAAAGTTCTGATTTAATTTAATTTTTACAATTTGTAAAAATTAAATCAGAATTTTTACAAATTGTAAAAAATCAAGTTTATTTATTTTGAGTTAATTTTAGCTATTAAATTAAGCATTAATTTAAACATAATTTAAAAATAAAATGGAGGAAGAAATTGACGAAGTTGAACAACAATTAAATAAAAATACAAATAAGACTTGCACAAAAACAACTCGAAAAAGTAAAGAAAATAATTCAGAAAAAATTGAAAAATCAAAGGAATTGTCACCAAAAATCGAAAAAAGGAAGAGTTTAGACAACCCAAAAAATTCTACTTTTAATTCTTCCTTTATACAACAACAACCAACACCTCAATTATTACCTGCTCCCCAACCTATTTATTGTTTTTATGGGGGATATCCACAAAATTCTTTGCCGTATTTTGGGGGAAATAATTATTCTCAATGTCCTCCTGGTTATTTTTGGCCGCCTACGGGAAATCCTAATTTATGGCAAAATGGAGGAATGAATTCTTCGGGAAATAAAGAAGATAACGAAGATGAAGAAAATACAACAAAAAAGCAAAAATTGCAGCATCCGCCATCTTTACCGGTAAGTTATAAAAATCGGAAAATTTCTCTGGTAAAAATAATGAAAAAAGTTGTAGGTTTTACAACTTTACCAATTGTAATAAGTTTTAAGTTTTAAACACTTTACAATTTGAAGTGAATTGGAGAAGAAATAAGGAGAAAAGTTGTAATTTTTACAAATTGTAAATAGGTTTTTGTCAATTGTAAATTGTTAAAAAATTTACAAATTGTAAATAAAGAGTTAATCAAGTTTTAAAAACTTATTACAAATTGTAAAAAGTTTATTTTTTAAAGTTTCACCCATCTCCATCAACTTTTCCTCCCCAATTTTCTCTTTTTCAACATCTTTATTCTGGTAACAGCAATGGAAGTATTATGGGTGGTTTCTATCCTCCTCCAACTGCAACTCCAACTCCAACAGCAATGCCTTTGTTTAATCCTTCTAATGGATATTTTTATCCACCTCCCTATTATTTTCAAAATAATGCTGCTGTGTTTTTTAATCAAAATAATTTGAAAGTAAAAGAGGAACTGGAGGAAGAAGAAGAAAATGAGGAAGAAGTGGAAGAGGATAGAGGGAAGGAAGATAAAGGAAAGGAAGAGAAGGAAGGAGAAAATAAAGAAGTTAACGAAGAAATTGAAATAAAAGAAAATTTAAATAAGGAACAAAAGGGTAATGAAGGAAAAATTAAAATGGTTGGGGGAAGAAAACGTGAAATTGATGAAAACTCTTTTACAAAATTTCTGGAAGAATTAAAAGTTCCAAAAAATGTAATTTTAATAATTTAGATTATTAATATCAAAATTTATTCTACTAAACTTAAGTTTAAAGTTTATTTAATTAAAACTTAAGTTTGTAATTAAACAAACTTTAATTAAACTTATAAACTTAAGTTTAATAAAACTTTAATTACAAACTTAAGTTCAACTCTTTACTAAACTTAAGTTTAAAGGTTTATTTAACTAAAACTTAAGTTCGTGCTTAAAAAACTTAAGTTTGTTAAAACCTTAATTACAAACTTAAGTTCATTTCTTTGCCTACCAAGTTTTAATAAACTTTATTTACAATTGTAAATATTAATTTAAATATAATTCAGAAACCTGTTGAAAATAATAGCCCCTTCGTTTTGCCTGATCACATTAAGAGTAATAAGGACAAAGATGAATTAAATGGGGATGATACGGAAAGATTTGTCTGTCTGATTTGTGGAGATGTTGCTGGTGAATTATAGAAATTTAATTATTTTTGAAATAATTTTTTTTAATTTTTAGGTAGACATTATGGTGTTATTTCTTGTGAGGGGTGCAAAGTGAATTTTTTGAAAAATTTTTAATTAAAAAAAATAAAAAAAATATATAATTTTTAAAGGGATTCTTTCGTCGTACAGTGACTTTAGGAATTGATTTAAAGGCTAATTTTAAATGTAGCACTGGATTGGAGAAGTGTAAAATGACTAAGGAAACACGAAACAACGTCTGAAACTTTCTTCCCAATTTACTAAAAAAATTTCTAATTATTTTAGTGCCCTTTCTGTCGTTTTAATGCATGCATTCGCATAGGCATGGATCGTGTTGCGCTTCTTAAACGAGTCAAAAAAATGTACAAATTTGATAATTCATTGATTAGTCAAGATAAGGTAATTTAGAAATATTTAAAAAATATATTTAAAAATTTTTTTTTAATATTTTAGGTGGGCAAGGGTCTTACAAAGGAGCGTGTATCACTTGAAATAGTCAATAAAATTTGGTAGAAAAATTATTTTTAAAAATAAGAAAAATTCATTTTTTAGTCTTTCATTTAAAAATAATTGCTTACATCGTCGAAACAATACAATAAACAATTTGGAAGACTTTAAAAATTATTTATTTTTATTTTTTACACAAAGCATTGAAATTATTACGAATGATAATGAAAAGGAAGAAACAGCATTGAAAAATAAAGAATTTGAAAAATCAGAAGAGAAAACTAGGTTTTTAATTGAAACAAACTTGGATGCATTTTTGGTAAATTTGTAAATTAATTAATAATATCAGAATTTTACAATTCAGAGGTTTGTAAAATTTAAAGTTTATTTTTGTCAGAATTGTAAACTTGAAATTAAAGTTTTATTTTTACAAATAAGAATTTTACAATTGTGTAAATTATCAGAATTTTACAATTTGTAAAATAAACTTAAAATATTTTTACAATTTGTAAAATAAACTTAAAATATTTTTACAATTTGTAAAATAAACTTAAAATATTTTTACAATTTGTAAAATAAGTGTAAAATATTTTTACAATTTGTAAAATAAGTGTAAAATATTTTTACAATTTGTAAAATAAACTTAAAATATTTTTACAATTTGTAAAATAAACTTAAAATATTTTTACAATTTGTAATAGTCCAAGTTTATTTTTTGTCAGAATTGTAGACTTGAAACCTTAGTTTAACAAAATCAGAATTTTTGAGATTACAATTTATAATTTATTAAATTCAATTTTTAAAGGTTATTCGACACGTTTTTATTGACGATTTACCTTTATTGAAACAATTTTGTAGCAGTGAAGATAATGAAAAAACTGAACTAAAGGAAACTGAAGATAATCTACTTGCAAAAATAATGACGAAGGTAATTTTTATAATTTTTACAAATTTGTAAAAATATTTATAAAGGTTGACAAGTTTCGCAAAGGATTGAGTGCAGATGTGCTTCAACCTGAGGAACATGCACTAGTTTCAGCTTTAGGATTTTGTTTTCTTCTTGACTCTTGTGGTAATCAGATTTCAAATAAAAATCAGAATTTTTTTTAAAAATCAGAATTTTTATTTTAAGATGGCAGAATTTTACGTTCAAAAGAAAAGAAATCTTCTTCAATCTCAAAATCAGAACGAGCATATTATGACCAACTTCGAGATTGTTTGTATACACAAATGTCAATTCGTGACCCGAGCAGATTTAATCATAAGGTGCTTTTTTTTATTTTTTTATTCTGAAAGTTATCTCTTTTCAGGCTTATAATGCATTGTGCCGTAATTTAAATAATTTATTTGAAACGACTGACTAATTTAATTTAAAATTTATTTTCTTTAATTAATAGAAGAAAATGACCATTTTTTATATTTATTTTTTAAACAAATTAAAAATAAATTTTAATTTTAAAATATTTAATTTTTAATTTTTTTGTCTTTAACTTAAAATTCCACCGGTTTTGCAATAATCCCTTCTATTAGAAGGCAGTAAACTATTTGTATTTGTACTAGTAGTTGTTGGTTTGCAATGCTTTTGGTTAGTATTTTTGTTATTATTTTTATCTCCCCCTTTTTGTGCAGCTGTGAAGGAGAATATACAAAGCACTGAATAGCATATTTGATCAGCCTAGAAAATTATTTTTTAATTTATAAAAAATGTTGACTCCCAATTGGAACAATTCTAAATCCCTTGGTTAATTTTAGTTCATTTCTGGGAGATACTCAGATGAGATCTCGAACAAAAATGTCGGTTACTAAAGCAAGAGTAAAGTCCCCGGATCCTTTTTAATAATTTACGAAAAGCTGGAATTTTAAATTAATTTTAATTTAAAAAAGTGCAGATACGATATATATTTATTTTAAAAAAATAAAAATCACAAACATACACAATATTTTTTTAAATTAAAATTTACAAAAATAAAAACTAATAAAGTGCTTAAAAACCACTAAAATAAAAATATAAAAATTAAATCTCCATAGGAAGCAATATTTGCCCCTCAAATTTTTTTATTCGCAATCCTCCATTTTCTGCTTCACCGCCATAAGAAAATGAATTTG